AAAAAACAGAAGTAAGTGAGTATAATAGGGTTGCAATGTATGAGATCCAAAACAAAATCAAACGTATTTCTATGCATTAGCAAATGACAATCCGAAAATGACATTAAGAAAATAATTCCTCCCCAATAATGTCAAAAACAATAAAATAGCTAGGAATAAGTGTAACAGAAGAAGTATAAGATCTGTGCATTGAAAACTACAAACCACTGCTGAAAGGAATGAAAGGAGATTAAATAAATGAAGAGATATACCATATTTATGAATCAAGAGATTCAGTGTTAGCTTGGAAATTCTTCACAAATTATTCTACATATTTGGAGCAACACCATAATCTCCATAGCCCTTTTACTTAAGATAAGTAAAATAAAAAGGATGATCCCAAAATTTATACGAAAGTGGAAAGAATCTAGAATAGCCAAGATAATTGTGAAAAAGGAGACAAAAGTTAGAGGATTCACACTACCTGATTTCAAGCCTTGATATAAAGCTAACGTAATCTAAAAAGTATGGCATTATCATAAGGATAAACATATAGATCACTGGAACAGAATAGGGTCTAGAAATAAACCCTCACATTCATGCTAGTTTAATAAAATATTGAAGTGCCACAAGGTAATCCAAGAGGAAAGGATAGTTTTTTTCAACAAATGGTTCTAGAACAATTAAGTTCCATATACAAGAAAATGCATTAGACCCTTCCTCACACTATCCACAGACCTTAAAATATAGATCTAAATGCAGGAGCAAAATTATACAACTTCTAAAAGAAAGCAGGAAAAAGTTTGTGACCTCGGGTCAGGCAGAGATTTCATAGATACAACACCAAAATAATAATCCACATAAGAAAACACTGACAAATTGGACTTCATCAAAATTAAAATCTTCCGTGCTTCAAAAGGAACCATTAAGAAAATGAAAAGACAAGCCACAGACAGGGGAAAATATTTGAAAACCATATATCTTATGAAAGACATGTAATCAGAATACATAAAGAACTTTTACAATGTAATAAGAAGATAAATAGCGCAATAAATATTCAGATGGGCAAAATCTTGAGTAGTCATGCCATCAAAGAAGATATATGAATGCTAATAAACACATCAGAATGTTGTAAACACATAAAGAACTGAGAAACCTAAATTAAAATGACAAAAAAGGTATCATTATACAGACACTAGAATGACTGTAATCAAAAAGACTGACTATACCAACTAAGGGAAACAATGAGCAGAAACTGGAAACCTCATACATTACTAGTGGGGAATGTAAAATGGTATAGTCATTTTGGAAAACATTCTGGCAATTTCTTAACAATTTAAATATATATTTGTCATATAACCCAGCAGTATCACTCCTAGGTATCTCGTCAAGAAAAATGAAAACATACGCACATACAAACACTTACATCTAAGTGTTCACAGCAACATTATTTATGAATGTCAAAACCTGAAACAACGCTAATGTCCATCCATTTGTGAATGGATTTTAAAAAGTGGTAGATCCATACAATGGAATACTAACTACTCAGTGATAAAAAGAAATAAACTACTCACATATGCACCAGCATGGGTGAATCACAGGAGCATTCTGTTATGTAAAAGACTATATATTGTATGATTCCATTGATTGATTGACTGACTTAAAGATTTATTTATTTCAGAAAGAGAGAGAGAGAGCACAAGCGGGAGGGGGAGAGGGAGAGAGAGAATCTCAAGTTGAGCACGGAGCCCAGTGCGGGCTTGATCTCACGACCATGATGAGGTCACCACCTGAGCAGAACCAATAGTCCGGTGCTTAACCTACGGTGCCACCCAGGTGCTCCTGTATGATTCCATTTATAAAAAATTTCCAGAAAGGCAAAACTATCCGGAAAGCATATTAGTGATTTTCTGGGGCTGAGGGAACTTGAGATGATGGATGTTCTAAGGATTATGGTGACTGTTACACAAAAATATCATTTTAGTGAAACTTAGTGATGTATACATTTTAAGTGGGTAAATTTTATGTTATGTAAGTTACTCCAAAATGGTGTGTGTTAAAAATGAAATATACCCTAATAACCAAGATATTTAGAGTAAGACATATGTATGTATAATATATCATTTATAGTAAACATACTACATATATTCATGCATGTGCTAGTTAAGACCACAATATTTCTGGGAGTATATATTCAAAAAACATGTTTGCCTCTGAAAAAAGGACTGAAAGTCTGGGACAGGAAAGAGAATTATTTTTCCCATTGTATACCTTCTGACACTGTTTAAAAAAATTAAACCATGTATATTACTGCTTTAAAAACTAAAAATCCTAGTAAATAATTAAAACAAACAAAGAACCACAATTCCGACAGAAGGACCCAGGCCTATGACTCTGCTCTTGAAGGTCTGGACGTATCTGAATGAGGCTATGAGCAATTTTGAGTAGCCTATAATAAGAGAAAGCAAATGATGACTCCAAAATTTATATGAAAATGGAAAGAATCTAGAAAAGCCAAAATAATTACAAAAAATTTCATCACAAAAACATGGTATTAGTTCCTTATAATTTCAGAGAGATGAGTGCAAATTGTGGCAACCGGGGGAAACACAAGAGGTTTTTGACTAGAAGTACTTTATTACAGGGTACTACATTCTGCAGGTCTACACTAGCCACAAAATAAAAACCAATTCCTTACCCCCAAACACAAGCAAAATGCAAACAAAATGTGACATCCTGAAGGATTAGAGGAGAGGTGGGAAAAACAGAGGGGGAAAAAAAAAGAGCAAGAATAGGGTGGTCTAGCTGATAGTGGGCGTTTATCTATATCTATCTATCTATCTATCTATCTGTAGGTGATTTCAAAATACTTTTTCCTGCTATGCCATGCCTTTTATTTTTACAATTTTTTTTAAAGATTTTATTTATTTATTTGAGAGAGAGAGCATGAGCAGAGGGGAGAGGGAGAAGCAGGCTCCGAGGGGAGAGGGAGAAGCAGGCTCCCCGATGAGCAGGGAGCCCGACACGGGGCTCGAGCCCAAGACCCTGGGATCACGACCTGAGCCGAAGGCAGACGCCCAACCACTGAGCCACCCAGGCGCCCCATATGCCATGCCTTTTTAAAAAAAAAGTCATTATATAGGATATGTACACAAACTCATTTCTATGAATCAGAGAGTGGCTATACTGCACAGTGATTTTCAGTATACCTTTTAGTATCAAGAACCTGTTACAAAGATTTGCTTTTCAACTGCATGCTATGAAGATACGGCTTTAATTAAGAATATTTGTTTTAATCTTACACAAGCAATGGGAGAAATTAAAACACACTGTCAATATTTAATTATAAAGATTCAAGGGCTATTTTGTAACAACGCCTTAAGAAGGTCAAATTTAAGACTTCGGCTATCATAATTTCCCTTTTTCATATAGGAACATAATACTTTGTACAGTGTTGCTCAAAAAATGCCTAGCATTTGATGTCCATTTTCACACAAGGAATCAATAATGTAAATACTTCCTTGAAGTGGAAACACCTGCAGTGAGGGCCAAATAAATCATAAAAGGTGCTTCTTTCAAGCTTTGACTGCCTTCCTTTGCATTTCAAACCGACAGGGCTCTCCTGCTGTTTTCAGTGCTCTGAATAGACAATCACATATGTTGGCCACACTGTGTTCTTCAAGCATGAGTTCCTCGGAGAGCTGCTCCTTCTGCCCCACGCTTGCTGCAGCTTCAGCGTTCCTTTACTCTCAACACACATTTCATGAACACCGACGGTGGGCCATTCGATATGAAGAACCATGACCACCACGTTAGGGAGTATTATCATCCCAATATAACAGCCAAGGCTTCTGAGGCTCCTGGACTTTAAGGGTCCCAAGTCCCAGAACTGGTAAGCAGAAAACCAGGACTTAGCCTGAGCCTTTTCCTTTATATTCTGTTTTCAAGTATCCTTCCAATCTGTGGCCCTTCCCTCCTTTCTCTCCCTAGTGTCACTGATAGTTAAGAGCAAAGTAGCAGAGGAATGAAGGAGGGGTCTTCCTCTTAGCCCCATTCCCTTCCCCAGAAGGTAGAAGGGAAGAAACCCCCACGGCTCAGAGTTCTTACCACCTTCCTCAGTGCTCCGATTTCCATAGTTCACCTAGAACACCCAGCTTAGAACTTCAGCCCTAACCCTGTTCTGTAACTTCCTGCCCAGGTCATGGAAGGCACCATGAGTAATTATTGCTGGAGGAGTACCTTTGTAGTGGAAGAAGTTTCCTAAGCATCCCAATTCGTGACTCGAAAAAGATTTTTCTGCCACCACCAGTTCCCAAATGTCCTTATGGGGATTATGAAGACTATATTTGAACTTGGACGGGGCTGAACCAGCCTCCACCTGCTAGCTAGAATCCTAAGCACAGTACAGAGCATTGACTTGATTGGAAGAACCAGATTTCTTAATTAAGTCAATGGGAAACCAGTCTGAGATCTCTACAACCGATATATTAATGAACTTTTGGAATATAAACCACTCATATTTGGGGACTCAGGCTTTACCCTCCAAGTTCATACTAAGCTACATTTGTGAGACAGAAAGTACTACTTTTATTGTGTTTAACATAAAATAGGAAGAAAATATATATTCTCAAAATTAAAAAAAACAACCCATCACTTCCTGGACTCTTGTTTTTCTCTCCTATTCTTTGACTTTTATTTTTTTATTTTTTTTTGAAGATTTTATTTATTTATTTCAGAGAGAGAATGAGAGAGAGAGAGAGCACGAGAGGGAAGAGGGTCAGAGGGAGAAGCAGACTCCCTGCCGAGCAGGGAGCCCGATGCGGGACTCAATCCCGGGACTCCAGGATCATGACCTGAGCCGAAGGCAGTCGCTTAACCAACTGAGCCACCCAGGCGCCCCTGACTTTTATTTTTTAAAGTATGATTTCATTCAACTCGAGGAAAACCTCCATTTTTATGATAGTATTAAAGGTCCTATTATTTTACCTGCATATTTTATTACTGAGTAGTGTTTATCTTACCTCCTCGATGGATAATCAAAGAAGTCTCACTTCCAATGGGACAGTCCTTAAGTATATCCACCACTTCTGTATGGCTCAGGTTCTGTACATTCTGCTGGTTGATCTCAACAATGAGGTCGCCTTCACACAGGCCAGGGCATCCCTGAATGTCAAGTATTTGTTTCACCCGCTGTCCTGTAGGACTGTCAGCAATAGTGAAGCCAAAGCCCTGGGCACCTTTCACAATGGTTAAGGTCATAAGTTCAGCTTGGGTGGCCCCAGATGAAGCCATAGACACATTGTCGTCATGGACGGGTGGTGGATACGTGCCATCTAGTTGGCCATCAGCTGGCATTGAGTGCAAAGAATGAGGCGGCCGATCTGTTATATCTGGAACCGACTGTGAGGTCCGAGAAATGTATTCCAAATATGTTTCATAGTTATGTCTTCCATTGACCATCACTGGAGGTGGCCTCTCCATTATTGCAAGGGGTGGCACCATGCTGTTAGCAGGATCTTCAGGATCAAAGGGCAAAGGGTAGCCACGACACAACACCAGGTTGACACTCTGACCAATAGGAACAGACTGGAAAAGTTTGACTACATCTGCATGAGTATGTCCAAGGACACAAACTTCATTAATATAGACAATGACATCACCTGCAAGGAAAAAGGAAAGAGATTGACAACATGAGGTAAGTTCAATTAAAGTTGACATAGAGAAATGGAATTATTTATGAGACTAGTAAAAGAGGCAATCTGTTTCTCAGTAAGCTGTGAGAAAATCAATTAGAATAATATTTAAATTCACTGTAGGTGACTCAAGGTTACCAACAGGTCTGCCAACAAATACAATGATCAAATGATGAAAAAAAAATGCTATGTGTTTATTCTTGGAGTTCAGAAACAGTTTTGTGTTCAGAAAGAAAAGTTTAGAAGCATTTGTACCTTGAGGAAGCACACATTCTATGCTTCTTTTTCATCTTCTTTTCCATCTTCAGTGCAATTCAGTTAATAGAATTTCAAACTATTGAGAAGTGGTGGTCATGTTTTAGATGAAAAAGAAAGCCCCGGTATATGGGTTTTTTTGGTATAACTTGACTGAGTCAACTGCTACTTTTCTTTTTTATGGCAGAAGAAAGATTTTGCCCATTTATTTTCTCCATCTACAGCAAGATGTAATTACAAAGGTTCTGTGTATACACAAGCAAAGGTCAAGAGCACTGGTTCTGGGATCAGGGATCTGGGTCTGGATCTTGACTCTACTCCTTAGCAGATACATGATATTGGGCAAGTGACGTACCTGCTTTGAGGCACAGTTCCTCATTCGTAAAGTTGTTGTGAGGATTAAATAAGATAATGCAGGAAAAGTGTTTGGCATTGTGCCTGACACATGGTGAGTGCCCAATAAATGTGGACCACTATTAATATTACTATTGCTAAAATAGGATGGAGGGGATTTGGGACCTTGGCTTTCAATAGAAGGCTGCCATAGACTCATCCTCTGATCTTAGATTAATTAATATTTCTGTAGATCTTTTTTAAAAAGCCATTTGTCCTCTCTCCCCAATGAATTATCATAGAGTTACAGATGTCCACTGGTTAGATGCTAACTTTATGATATTAAAAATGCCCTGAATGTTAATTATTCATTATACAATTAAAATTCTGAAAAACAATATTTCCTCCTTAAGATACAGAAAAAACACGCTTGTTTGAGATAATTGTTTAAAAATTTCAATTATGTATGAATAACAATTTTGTTTTTAGAGAACTGTCCTAGTATGGGTTGATATTTTTATTCCCACAAACCATAATATTTGAGAATTATGCTTGCAAATTGAGATTGTGCCTGACTACACTGAGGAGTATATGAGGGATAAAAAGACATGTTTTCACAGACTGTCAAATGAGTAACTCAGCAGGTATTAATTTATCAGGATAATTCTGAAATGGGTAGTGCAAATGGCTAGGGATTTCATACTGAGACATCCTTGCCCATCAAAATTGCAAACATCAAAAATGTAAAAACAGAGTTGAACTTTCAGAGTTAAATACTTCTCTAGCTTTTCTTAGGTGTCTGATATAAAATGATTACTCCACTCTAAGCATTCTAAAATAAATAATTCTATGAATAAAACATTCCTGAGTAAAATACTCTCAACAACATAGACTCAGTTAACACTCGCTCTTCCCAAATGCTAGAGACCTGCTTGGAAGTGCTAAAGATATAAAGACAGAAAAGTCAAACAAACATTTTCTGGGATTCAGCTTAAGTGTGATTCTAGAAAATGTCACAGACTCCGTGATTTGTTAGATGGAACTTCACACTTCAATTATGTGTATCAGAAAGGGTGTTGGTGTGATGGCGGGGATTTTGGAGCAGGACTTAGGGCTGAGTTGTGATGAGCATCGTTTCTCTGCTACTATGATTCGCCATCAGACCAGGGCAAATGGGGACGCTTTGGCATCATTTTCAACTGGTCTGGTCATCCCAGAGACCCAGAGAAGTATCTGATCCAGACAAACCTTTTTCTTCTCTTCCTGCCTCTTCTATTCTTAAAGTTAGGATCATCTATTTTACACATTACAAGGTTGAGAGAAGAATAAATACTGTGTATCATCATCCAACTCAATGATGAGAACATTGAACATATTAGTTGTGGTCCTCCGGGTGGCACCTCCCTCCCACTTACTGCCTTCTCCGAACATAATCACTGTCCTGCATTATTCACATGCACTTTATGCTTTTATGACATATCCAGGTACCTGTAAATAATGTCCCTAAGTAAAATTTAATCCCTAAATAATAATATCCCCCAAAATATGGTTTTGCATGTTTTAAAATCATTGTAAATGGTATACATATTAATCTTCTGTAATTTCCTTCCAGATGTATTTGTGATATTTTTTTTAATAATTTTTTATTGTTATGTTAACCACCATACATTACATCATTAGTTTTTGATGCAGTGTTCCATGATTCATTGTGCATAACACCCAGTGCTCCACGCAGAATGTGCCCTCTTTAATACCCATCACCAGGCTAACCCATCCCCCCACCCCCCTCCCCTCTAGAACCCTCAGTTTATTTTTCTGAAAAACATCGTCTCTAATGGTTCGTCTCCCCCTCCGACTTACTCCCCTTCATTCTTCCCCTCCTGCTATCTTCTTCTTCTTCTTTTTTTTCTTAACATATATTGCATTATTTGTTTCAAAAGTACATCCGTGATTCATCAGTCTTGTACAATTCACAGTGCTCACCATAGCACATACCCTCCCCGATGTCTATCACCCAGCCACCCAATCCCTCCCACCCCCCACCACTCCAGCAACCCTCAGTTTGTTTCCTGAGATTAAGAATTCCTCATAACAGTGAGGTCATATGATACATGTCTTTCTCTGACTGACTTATTTCACTCAGCATAACACCCTCCAGTTCCATCCACGTCGTTGCAAATGGCAAGATCTCATTCCTTTTGATGGCTGCATAATATTCCATTGTGTATATATACCACCTCTTCTTTATCCATTCATCTGTCGATGGACATCTTGGCTCTTTCCACAGTTTGGCTATTGTGGACATTGCTGCTATAAACATTGGGGTGCATGTACCCCTTCGGATCCCTACATTTGTATCTTTGGGGTAAATACCCAGTAGTGCAATTGCTGGATCGTATGGTAGCTCTATTTTCAACTGTTTGAGGAACCTCCATGTATTTGTGATATTTATCTATTTGATACTTTTACCTCTAGTTCACTAATTTTCATTGCAATAGAGTATCTGTTGGATGGCTACATCACTACTTTATTAATATTTGTCTGTTCTTGTGTTATTGGATGCTTGGGTTCTTGTGAATTTTTGGCTACTAAAGATAATTCTGCTAATAATCTCTTTCCATGGCCCTTGTGCACTTATGGTGGAGTTTTTCTGAGGTACGGACCTTGGCATTGAATTGCTGGGCCGAGACCACGTGCTTCTTCAACTTTGTTATGTCATGGCAAATGACTGACTAAATAGGTCAAATTGATTTACACCCCCATTTCTAGTATATCAGAATTTTCATTGCTCCCTATCTAATATAATACTTGGCATTCTTAGACTTATTTTTCATCGATCTAATGGGTGTGATCATGGTTTTAATTTGCATTTGCAAGATTGCTAATGAGGGTGAGCATCTTTTCATATGTTTATTGGCCATTTGGGTTTCCTCTTTAGTACATCTCATTTCCTCATTTTTTCCTATTTGGTTAGTCCTTTACATTTTTTTTTTTTTTTAACACATTGACTACTTTTCTGCCCACCTCCATTCTTTTGATCCAACATTTTTGGTAGGTTTGGGAGGCTGCATGGTATAGCTGACATTACATGGGATAGGGTGTCAGAAGACTTTGGTCCAGTTTCCGGCTTCATCACTTCCTAGCTGTGTCACTTTCAAAACTAACTTAAATCCTTTGTGACTCACATTTTTCACAAGTAATGAGGAATAATAATAATAGCAACTTATTGTTCTATGGGAAATAACAAATGAGATCATGCAGGTGACAGGGTTTGTAAGCTGCAAATTGTTATGCAAAGGATGACTGCTATTTCAGTAATTATTATCTGTCCTTGGTTATAGCCTCCTATAAAAATCAGGACAGTCCCACCAAGATATTCCCACCCCAGTCACAATCAAGGCTGAGTATGGGTTTCTGAGTGGGCAGATAAAAGACAGGAAGGTAACAAACGTCACTTTCCTCTAAGGCTTTCCCTAACTTTAAACACTGTTAACAAACTCGCCGCCCCCCAAGCACACTATGCCAGAAATTCATAGGGAAAAGAACTAAGCTCTCCAGGTTCCCTGCCAGGTCTAGAGAGTAGTTATTTGAATTATAGTGATTAATGTTATCTATTTTTGAGTTCTAATGTGATCTTGCTATTTAGAAACAGAATGAGAACTATTTGTGGTTCTTGGTAAGACTGCTTTTAAAATTTATGGATATTTTCCACTCAGAGCAATTTTTCAAGTCATCAAGCAAGCAGTGAGAAAGTGGTATCTTTAGAGAGCCGTGCAGAAGCTTCCTGAAGGTAAAAGATGAGTGGTCAGTTATCACAGGATAAAACCAACGTGACAGTACTCAACTGCTCACTTAAAAAAATGTGTATAGATGCCTAGACATTGTGTCATACCACAATTGTTGTAGATGGATTTGTAAGGAAACGTTTGCCTGTTCAGATAGAACTAATTGGGTAGGATATTTATAGACTGTGCTGTATGGATGTCATTGACATGTTGTGAAATAAAAATGTGAGCCACCTGGTAAATGCCATCCGATGGTGCCATGCCAAGTCCTGGGATAGACTGGGCTTCAGAGCACAGAAAGAGACGTCATTAGAACTGGCTCTAGCTCAAGCCCCGTTGGCCTATTTAAGAGGGAGAATTGGGAAAAGAATCACTTGATCTCTCCCTCTCTATTTATTCTTTTATAAAATGGGAACTAAAACATCTCCTCCATTTCCTCTTTCACACGGCTACTGTGAGAATGAGATCATGCTTGTGAAAATACTTTTAATTTTACCAAGGAAAGGTTTTCCATAAAAATAAAATGATGCATCTCGTTTGGAAGCCAAGCACCCATTTTCATTGCCGTCTACTGTTTCCTATGTGGCCATTCAC